CTTTCCCTGCGAGTCAGGAACTCTCCACCTGAGGGACCTGTCTCAGGCTTCACCTGTTTCCTCTTGGCTCTGGCACAGACAGCCCTGACCACACAGCGGGTACACAGTACCTCACGGACAACAATGTGGGCCATTAAGATTTAGAACTATTTTATTTGAAGACATTTTCTTCTATAGTTCTAGTTCTAAACACAAAATGAATGCTATCTGAGTGAGTGCATCGTAGGCATTGTTGTATTTAAATAAATCATATCATAATGTCTACATTTTAAGCCACATTTGTAAGACACAATACAACCTTTATAACAAAGTGTCAGTCATAACAAAACATAATTATTCATTCTACAGATTATCAATTTTCCTAAAATGACCACTAAATATGAAAACATTGTAGAGACTAGATCTAAAGAACCCCTATTAAGAATTTTTTTAGAAAAATGACACAATGCAAATTACATTTTCCTTTTCTTGACTAGTAATAAACTATGACATCCATTTGAGAAAGCCCCAGCCAACCCCACCAAAGTCATTTCAGTGCCCTTTTGCTCTGGCAAAATTGACCATCTTTTACATTTAGTGTCTCCTGTAGGAATGGATAAAACTGGTTATGTCAAGTACAGAAGTCAGCATATGCCAACTGGTATGCATTTTAGATTGTGTTCCTAAATTAACACAATATGAAAAACAAATATTCTTAAGTGAATGAAACACAAGGAGAGAAAGCCTTTGATAGTTATCACACAGGCAAAGACAACTGACTTACAGTTAGGACTAGCATCTTAATGACCATTTAGTAATACTTTTTATGGAGGCGTTTTAAAGGCATAGGTATAAACTCACACGTGAACAGCTTGCCTCTCTCCCCATACTTACTTCCCTGGCTTTGCTCCTCCTTCTCATGGGATCAAGCTGTTGAGCCCTTAGCCAGGCAGGCTGTGGTGTCTAGCAGTTACCTTTATAGCAGATCACATACAATTTTTTTTTGAAAAATGAAGTACAGAGAAGACAATGAAATGTAGGGAGGAAAAAAAACATACCATTAAAACAAAAACATAGCTTGTGATCTTCAATTTTAGAGAAGAGCTGGTTCATTATAACTGCTAGAAGATCATGAAGCAGTGGGCAGACTGGCTCAGGACTGAAGAGGCAGCCAGGCCAAAGAGCCCCAGTGTGCCCACTGGCAAAAGTGGGCATCTTTGAGGGCACTAGTCACAATGATTACAGCAAACATTTTCACAAGAAGCTTTTCAAGGCCAGGGACGGTGGCTCATTTATGTCTGTATCCCTAATTCTTAGCATTACCTTGCACACAACAGACTTTCTGTAAATATTTCTGGGAGCCAGGGAACTGAGTTGAATCAGCTCACTGCTCTCAAAGCCATTTTGGGTGGTATCTACTCACCTAATTCATTCATTCCTGTAAGGCGGGGATGACAGACTTCATTCACCTCACTCTGGTGGATGGGCAACAGGTGCCTGGAAGCACTGATGACACGGATTATGAGACCAATTCCTGGCACAGAGGAAAGGAGTGCTACTCATTCACAATGCTGCCATCAGAGAATGGTGGCCCAGGTGTCATATATTTCCCATCCCTGGCCTAGGAGAAAGGCATCCAACAACTCACCCATATTCCCTTTCTGTTGCTATGCTGCCTCACGAGTGCTCTGCATTAAGCCACTGCTCATTAAATGCTGGTTGACCAAGAAGGCCAAGGCCTTTCCACTTGATTTACCTGTGTGGCAAACAGGTAGGGTCATGACTTTACCTGGAAATCTAAAAACATGGCATCCAAAATTCTCACTAAGTAATTCTTTACTGAAAGAGAACAAGCATTTACTTTTAATTCCCTTTGTAGAGAAAAAGCTTTCTCCGCTTTGTACAACTTTAATTGATAGCTATTGGAATCACTTGGGATTTGGGTTCAAAAAACCACGGCCGAGTTAAATTCTCTTTGGTTTCCATGCTTAATCTTACTTGTTTCTTACTAGAATTCATAACCTTCTCAGTACTTCATTGTCATGACTTAACCAACACTGTTGAAATAATAAACTCATACATTTTCATCAGAAAAACTTTAAAGGATGCTAAGGGGAGAGGCCACTGAAACCAAGGGTGTGGAGAAGAAAGCCAGAAAGAATGACAGAAAGAACCAACCTCCCTCTACCAATCCACACTTAGGACTCACTCTGCCGCTCCGAACATTCTTAGTAAAACTGGTTGCTTCCAGAGGGATGGATACCACAGGGGTCCTCCTGGCAACTCCCTTCTCCACAGTGGGAGTCTGGCATCCCTCAGAAGCATTTCAGAAAAGAAGGATAAAGCATTCAGAGAAAGGAAGGAAATAGAGGGATATTAACAAAGAGCACTATATTGTACACCTGAAACTAATATAACACTGTATGTTAACTACACTGGAATTGAAATAAAAAACTTAATAAAAAAGCAATGTCCTGGGGGTGACAGGGAATTTTCAAAGCATCATTACCCTCATCACAGGTACAGTCTTCAATACAACATTGGCATCAACAAGAGAACAGAGCTAAACTAAAATTATCCTCAAAATGCCAACATAGCTGCTGTGCACAGCAGGAAGATGTCCCAAATGCACAAATGTGTTCCTACTGCACATTCTGCCTTGCGCAAGTACCCTCAGCAGCCCAGAGTAACAAAACTTTGTTAGAAGTCTGTGTATCTTAGAGCTATAATATGCCAGTGCACATGCACACACACACATACAGACAATATGCACATATGCACACATGAAACTTGGTTTATAAAAAGAGCTTTGTGGATCAGAGTATGCCTTCACTTGGTCCAAGAATCTAATTGTTGACATTAAGAAAACAGACCCAAAGAATGTAATCAGGAAGGGAACTGGTTGGCAGCAACAATATTACATTTTATAAGACGTGGTTATTTACAAGCTAAGGTCTAACTTGTCCAGAACTAATTCAACTGGCTAGGATCGTCTGAATATACAAGGTTAAGCTTTAAAAAATTTAAGATCTGTCACAACAAAAGTTAACACTATCTAAAATAAATTAGATTTTTAAATATATGCAATGAAATTATAGATCACTGGAAATTCAATTCTATAATGAATATAAATTAATAAAAATCTATTATTAAAGTACCATCCCCAAGATTTGAGTTTTTTTTTAAAGGCTAAGTATTTGTGAATAAATGGATATGGCTTAGAAACCCTTAAATAGTATTAAGTAGAGTACTGATATGATTATTTGGTGACAAGATCAAAGATCTGTCTCCATGTCCACAATAAAGGCTTGCCTCATTTTACTTAATAGAAGTATTCCTGAAAAGTTGTGCAAATAAAATTTTTACAACCAGACCTTTATTTTAACTATACTAGGAGGCCACGGTTGTAAAGAAACCCTGTAGTGACTCTTGATAAACTGAAGAACTCTGCTGAAGAAATCCAGTCCCCTGCACTATATCCTCACAGTGAATGCATACCGGAGGTGCTGGGAGTCTGGTGAATGCATGAATTTGCCATGATCATTTCTGCTTTTCTGTGGGACTTTCTTAAAAGTGAGGCCTGCTGTACAGGAATGTCAGAACAGAAAGACGGAATTCCAGCTCACAGTTTCACTGATTCCATTACAAAAGACCAGAGAAATTCAGAAAGGGTTTTTCCACCAAAATCAAATTTCTAGAAGTATAAATGTTTAAAGGGATGCTGACCTATGATTGGCAGAGGCTTTTATTCATGGCAACTGACTTACTGAAAATGATTGCTTGAGCTGCGTTCCACCTGATTTAACAACCTAGGCAAGTAGAGCATGTCACCTACTTTCAGAAATACCACCAGAGGCCACTCCACTTCTGTAAGAGCTGCTTCCCCTCTCCAGCACAAACGTTTCACAGCTATCCTCACCTTACCTCATAAAAGCAAAGCATGAATTAAAAGGCTAAGATTAAATTAGAAAGATGCCTCACCTAAATATGATAAAGGCATCTGTTTTATCTTTAAAAAAAAACTAAGTCCAATACATTCATTACAAGCAACTCTTAAAGGCAAATTTTTTTCTTATTTGGTGTTCCCTTCCCTTCTAAGACTCGATTTCAAAAATATATATATTTATCTCCATCCTTTTAAACAATATATCTTCTCTTTTAAACAACGCAGAATGCTTAGCACTGCAACTTATCTGCCCACATAAATTCCCAATCTGCCACATACATGAAATAAGAGGTTATATCTGCCTATCTATTCAGTACACATAATTGCAAAAAGTTTGGAAAAATAGCTGAGAGTGTTTTTATGCAAGTTTGGGAGGACTGGATGCTTGCAAGGACTCACTGTAGGGTTCCATCATTGTAAGTTTCCTAGAAAGTAGTGTGCAAATAAAATATCTAAACCTAGAACCCTATTTTAAACCACTGGCAGTATACGTTGAGAATGAATGGGGGAGAAAACGGGTGAAGGATAGTGTTAATATGTTTGTCAAGTAAATGAATAACAACAACAAAAACTTCTCACTTAAGGTATTAATGATGTTTCAAGTGACCCAAACAACACAGATTTTAAAATGATCTTTACCATTCAATGTCAATTATTGACTTTGGCCCTTCACTAAAGCAGATACAATGAATCTTCTTTTTGATGAGCAGTTTCAGTCGCTGGCCCAAGGGTATCATATTTGGATGAAAATACTATCATGGATTCGTTCCCATCATTTAACAATCAATAATTAAAAAAATAATAAAGTTGGTCTCTTTTCTCCACAAGTTTTCAAGTAATTAGTTCAAGTAAGCTTATTTACAGCTATTGTACATGTGACCAACTTTAACCCATGTTTTCCCTTTAGAAATCGTTCTCCCTTGAAATGGAACACTATGGGTTGTTTTCTTTCCTTTCTTTCTTTCTCCTTCTTTTTTTTTTTTTTTTTTTTTTTTTTTTTTTTTTTTTTTTTTTTTTTTTTTTTTTTTTTTTTTTGTCTTGAACTAGGTTTCTTTCAAATTCTAAGTCAGTTCAGTCATGTTTCTGTTTTATTGGGCAGATAAAGAGAGGAAACCAGCAAATTATGTCCAAAGGCTGGGAAACGCCTGAATGCTTCCCAACTATCTGAAAAGATGTTGTACTTCAGGAAAACTCGATGCTCCAGGCTGGTTGACAGGGTAACGTCTCTGCTCATGATATAGATGCCATCGTTGTGAAGGGCGCAAGTCAAGTTAAGACCCGATTTGGACGTGTTCTCCTTGAGGTAGAGCCACTGCCGCGTGATAGTGTTGTAGGACTGCACGGTGAGCATGTCCTCGCTCTGGCTGCTCCTCCGGTTGGGCCCCAGTTCGTGCAGACAGCCCCCCACGATGTAGATGGTCTCCTCAACAGACACCATCTGCTGCTTGCGAATGTGGACGTCACACGTTTCAAAGAGTGTCCAGATGTCGGCAGAGGGGCAGTACTGCAAAATGTTCATGTTGCGGTCTGAAACGAAGAGAGAAGCCTCAAGATGACACAGCCACAGTAACGTCACTGCCTGCCTCGGCAGTAATAAACATCTACCCCCGCCGGAATAATTTGGCAGCACAGAGGCAAAACTATTTCAGAGAAGCAGAGGTCGGACAACGGTTTCTGAAGTGGCTGGCAGGAGATCGGTTTAGAATCATCTCCCTCACCTCTCATCAGGCATGTCCCCCTCCCTGGGAGGCTCTCTAAATCAACAGGGCCAGGACACAGATTTAGAACCTGGCACCCTTAAACATTTTAGAACCACCAGTCCAATGTAAACAGAATCAGGGCGTTGGAATTCTCAACTATCTACAGAATTACTGACTTCTACATCCAGATGACAGGCTGAGCCCCAAGGATCTACTCTTGACAACAGACTCTAATACACAAGACAAGTGAGCCAAGCAAGATCCTCAGGGGCTGTCGAAATGAAATAGCACATAATTGCCAAGTCAGGAGGAAGTCTCACCTGTGGCCATCAGCCATGGAATCACCTGGCAATTCTATTTCCTGACTGCAACAGCAGAGATACTACCAAAGGCCCTTCCCTCTCCCTGTGCCCACTTCACAAGAGATGACTAGCTGTTGTGTGTATAAAATCAGAAAGCAGATGAAAGACTGCCCTAACATTATCTTGAATTCATGGCTGCTTTAAGGAAAAATATTACCTACTCTCTTTTTGAAAAATGCTTGTGAAATTTAAAGTATCTAGTTTCGTTCTTCTTTTTTGTAATTGTTCTTTTTTACCCACTTCTCCTCTAGGAAAGAATAAATGGAACATTTTAGCCTCAGCAGAAAAAAAAATGCTCTGAGTTATCAGAAAGAATGAACTTTCTGTTTGTTGTTGTTTAAACAAACAACAAAATCCATCCATGGAAGAGACAACTTCGCTTGGGCACGGACGTGTAACTACAGGGTAGGACACTTCCTCCTGAGACAGAAGGACCCACCCACAGTTGGCAATGATGACAGAGCTCCATCACAGCCTCTGGTACCAAATTGGGGGGGGGGCTCATAAGAGGGCACAGAAAGAAAAGGAGACCAAATCCTGTGTGTGCACATGTCTCCACGCCAGCAGAAATTTCAGAATTGTTACAGCTTTAGGGAACTTTCCTTCTGTTTTCCACCCATACTAATACCTCCCTGTATTTCTTTTTGTTATAGCTGTTGTGATAAAACTCATTCTAGGAGATAGTCCAAGGGAGTTTGGTTAACAGTCTATCAAAAAGTGCTCCTTACCAGTGAACCTGGCTTCTCACCACGCAAACAAAGGACTTATTCTAGTGAGGTTTCCATGCATTTCTCAGTCCCAGGTCTGAAGGTCTTCCCAGGTCTTCTGTAAATGTTTTCTCTCCTCACCCAACAAGAGCTCAGACCATATGAGGTGGTCTGAGTTGGTGGAATAATCTTTATGCTTTTATATTTAGAGGGGATTCTGAACTTTAACAAATCACCCTTCTTCCCTTGAGTGGTTACTATTGCTCTCTATTGAATTTCTTTTCATTTCCTCAATGACTGACACAGAATTAATCTAATCATGAACTACTACAAGGGGCATCTGGGTGGCTCAGTCGGTTGGGTATATAACTTTGGCTCAGGTCATGATCTCGCGATTTGTGAGTTTGAGCCCCGCATTGGGCTCTGTGCTGACAGCTTGGAGTCTGGAGCCTGCTTTAGATTCTGTCTGTCTGTCTGTCTGTCTCTCTCTCTCTCTGCCCCTCCCCCACTCATGCTGTCTCTCTCTCTCAAAAATAAACATTAAATAATTTTTTTAAAAAATCATGAACTGGGGCGCCTGGGTGGCTCAGTCGGTTAAGCGTCCAACTTCGGCTCAGGTCACGATCTCACAGTCCGCGAGTTCAAGCCCCGCGTCGGGCTCTGGGCTGATGGCTCAGAGCCTGGAGCCTGCTTCCGATTCTGTGTCTCTCTCTCTCTCTGCCCCTCCCCCGTTCATGCTGTGTCTCTCTCTGTCTCAAAAATAAATAAATGTTAAAAAAAAAAAATCATGAACTATTACTTACTAAATTTTAAAAGTCTACCTAAGTCAGCAGACCAAGAATGCAACTTTGAGCCCTGCATTTTGTTTTATGACAATTATGATTTCTTATTTTAAATACAGGCAACCATTAGGGAGGCTTGGGAAGATCCCAAGCAGAAGAGGAGAGGTGTTTCAGAGTCCAAGGAACTGTCCTGCCCTCTCATCTCAGAAAACCCATTTTCAACCCTTACACAAACATCCATCCATCCACATCACCCAACCATCCCATCACAGGTATTTGGCTTGGGGAATCCAGGACAGGAACCACTGTGTGTGGCCCAAATGAAGAAGGTACATTAGTAGTGGCTTGAAAAACTAGAAAACACACAAGCAAGGGTTTTCCAGGTCAAATCTAAAGAACATTTGCTCAGCCAGGGTCATGGAAAAACTAGGAAATCTACCAGCAGAGTACTCTTTGGATTATAGGGCTGCCTGTCAATGCATCCCAGCTCTTGCTCAGAAGAGAAGCCAAGGGACATGTGTACATTACATCAGCCCACAGGGTGTATTCTGTGTCACAAAATCTACGGAGAATCAGAATTCTTAGAAATGTCCATAAGTAAATAACTGTATTTACTTTCCCAGGAGAAAAGGCACACAGACACACAGGGAGGTACATATGCACACACAGAAATTCTCTGGGGGCTTTTGACCACTATACCCTGAACACCAGTGTTGAAGATAAAGGAAATGACTGCTAGATCTCACTCTTTTTTCTTTTTTCAATTATTTATAACAAAAAAGCTGGCAATTATCTTATCTTCAGTGGAAAGTCACTAGAGAGGGACATTGGGAATAGCTCCACAGTGACGAAAATTTGAGGGTGTTTAAAAAAAAAACCAAGAAACAAAAAAAACAACTCACTGCTTCCCATGCACTCCTCTTGGGTCACTGCCTCTCCTTAAATGTATAAACAGCACCTATAGTGAGTTCAACAGTGACCCCCAAAAAGATATGTCTACCTCCTAACCCCCAGAAATTCTGAATATAACCTTACTTGGGAAAAGGAGCTTTGCAGATGTCATTAAGTTAAAGATCTCAAGATGAGATCATCCTGGATTATCCAGGTGGGCCCTAAAGTCCAATGAGCAGCGTGTCTTTCTTTACAAGAGACAGAAGAGGAAAAGACGTGGATACACTCAGAAAAGAAGGTATGTGAAGATAGAGGCAGAGGTTGGAGTGATGCAGTCACCAGCAAAGGAACATGTGGAGTCACCAAACCTAGAAGAGGCAAGGAAGGATTCTCCCCTAGTGCCTTCAGAGGGGACATGACCGCCCACACCTTGATTTTAGGCTTCAGGCTTCTAGAAATGTGAGAGAATACATTTCGATTGGCTTAGGCCACTAAGTTGTAGTTGTTCGTTAAGTCGGCCACAGGAGACTAAAACACCGCTCACCATCCCCCCCACCAAATCAACTGTTTAGAGATACTCTAAGATGTGCTGTTACTCAGAATCTTTTGTGCACGTGCACACACACTCTAAACCATATGCTCATAAAACACTTTACATTTAACTTCTCCCTCTAACATAAATCCCTAAAACAAAACACATTTGGCTGTGGTAAAAATAATTTTTGGCACCTACACTACATTAGCATGTGGATTTCTGTCCTTTACAAAGTTACACATCACCATCATTTCTCCATGCTTACTGTCAGCGAAGGCTGGAGAGCTCTGTCCTCTCATATTGTATCATAAAAGAAAGACGGGTTATTTCACTATGTTGGATAAAATGGTAACTCTACTATTTCAATGTAGCTAAAAGTCCTAAGAGTCCAGTTATACCTTCTCTATAAGTTCTGGGTGTTTTACAGGTAGACCAAATGAAGAAATAAATTTCTTTGGCCAAGAGGTAACATTGACACAAGTGGGAGAGAGGGATAAAAGGAAAAGACACACCTCTTCCTGGTGGCCCTGCCACTGCCTTGTCTGCCTTACCACAACCATGCTCTTTTCTATCTCTATCACGTGAGAAGCTTCCTACCAAGAACAATAGTATAAAACCTACTGGAGAAACTTATTTCCAAATTCTTAACTATCAAATACCCAGCAAAAAAAAAAAAGTGAAAAACACACATGTACAGTTTAATAAAGAGCACAACCACCTCTCACCTCTGGATCAGGAAAGAATTCTCTTACATTCGTGTCTCTTAAAACCCTCTTATGATATGTAAACAACAGCCTAGAGCTGAGTTTCTGGAAACTATCTGACATATTTGTGCTCAAAAAGGGAGAAAGTGGAAACAAAGATCCTCAAGGATGTTCTGGCTCTAAATTCTGTGTTAGAAGTATTCGGGAGAAGGATGGGAGTAACCCAGACAAGTCTCAGGACTACTGGTCACAAGGCTGGGTTTTCAGAGCAGAAAGAAAATACATATTTTCTTCATAGCTCCTTCCACCCCCATTCAATTCTTGTGCTCACACAAAGGCATCAAAGGTCCCTCCTGCCCAAACCACCCCTGTGATACACAACACTCTTCCTCCCAGATATGTAAATATGCAGTATTTAACATATAAAATCACAATGTGTACGCCAGAGTGTTTTCCTCTGGCACCCTCCTACCCTTCCACACGCTGCAGAAGCTCACACAGAAAAGGACCACTTACTTAGCCCCTTCACTTACCTCTGGTAGTATATCCTCCAATGACATAAATTTTTCCCTTACACTCACACGCAGAGAACTCAGCCAGAGGATTTGGTAGGGGTGCCACAAAATTCCACGCATCCTGCTCAGGATTGTAACACTCAACATTAGAAACGGCCTGCCCACCAATGGCATACAGTTTTGAATTGACGGCCACAAGTTTGAAGTTAGACCTGAAAGATAGATACAAAGGCCCAGAGAGTCAGTTCTTATTGATCATTAAGAGGTAAGACAATGGCATGAACTGCTAAAGCAGAGTGTGGAATATGCTCGATATCTGAAGAAAATTAGCTCTCCAAGTTGGGTGCCTGGGGACAGAGGAATGACCAAATGACATCTCAAATTTCACTCCTACCCCCAAAATTCACAAGAATGATGCATTTTCCAAACTTCTGCAATTGGAGATAAGCAATTCAATATAGCAGACTCTCGCTTAGCCTTATGCCAAGAAGCAAAGATATTCTGTATACAGTAAACTTAATACTTCTTTTAGCAGCGGGAGCAAGTACTGATGGAGAGATGCATAACCACCTCACTCCCTTGTCTCTTGACTCAGAATGTTTCCCATTCTTCCTACCTAGGGGTACAATCTACCTTAGGTACATGCTAGCCCCTCCTACACAGCCAGGCATATGCTAAGGGTGCCCACTAAAGGGTGGACACCTCTACCACAAGTGTACCCAGACAGATCACTTGCCTCCCCCCCACCATATGAGGGCATCCTATTATTGCTTCACAACAAATAACGTAGGGGTACATAAGCACTGAATTAATTAAACGAGTTTTGATGCAGCACTCTTAAGAGTATTTACACATGTTAACAAATACGTAAATCAATAAATGTTCACCTATTGTAATAGAAAACACTTTAAAAAGAGAATACCCTGGTGTTAAGCCCCATATCAGTAATACAATTCAGCACTGCTCATCGGTTTCAGATGCTAGATAAAAGTCTCATGTCTTTTGTGTTGAAAAAACTAATTTGTTTCAATTTGGCACACAGAGATTAATGGACTCCTTGAAGGCCAGAGAGGATAAACACTTGGGTCAGTCTACGTGATGTATGCACCAGTCTCAAGTTTAGCAGAGCACGATGCAACCAAACGACCTAAAGCACAAATCCGGAGACCCTGGCCCAAACACCCCACTTCCTCATCTCCAGTACGGGGATAATACCCATCACAGGATGGGTATTACACAAACAGGGTATTACACATTACACAGGGTATTACAGTAAACAGTTTATCATCAAGTACTACACAGATATAAGATGCTATCATTATAATCTCTCAGTTTTCTAGTGTTTGAAATAAAGAAAGTAGACCAGGTAAATTTAGAGGTCACATCTATTGCCAACACAACAATATCTTCAAAAGTAACAATGTCCTAAGAAAGAACCAGGGTAGAGGCCACAAATAGGGAAAAACACATGTAAGAGGGTAGATGAAGAAGAAACAGTGAACAAGAAGTCCATGCCCAACCCCTGAACAGGTGTTTAATAAACACTGATGCACTATGACATAGAACATGCTAGAACGGGCCACCTACACTATGGTGTTTTCAAAGGTGCCTATAATATGTACATGTAAGTGAGTTTGGGTTTTGTTTTGTTTTTCAAATCAGAGAGTGAACAGAGGACCCTTCAACAAGAACCTCATATTGCCCATTAAATCCAGCCAGCCATTCAGGATTTCATGCCAATAGACTTTGCTGGGGTGGCAGTTACTGGGGGGTCTCTGGTTCATGTTGCTTACTTTTCCTGCTGCCAATGGTCCTTAAAATCTGACCATTATGCCCTCTCTATGTGTGCAAATTTGGGGAACCAAAGGAAATAAAGCTTATAAATAAGCACTAAATTTTACCAGCCCAAAATTTGTTTTTGCTCACCAAAGGTACACAGATAGTAAATTTTGTAAGATCAAAACCGTTTTTAATATTCATCCAGCATAATCATTTGTCCTAAGCAAACATGTTAGGGTTGAATGAATAGGCAGTTAAAAGTAAACAGTTTCATCTCTCCAGACCCCAACATGCTCAAATACACTTGAAGAGAAGAAACTTTCCAAGACTGAGTTTAAGATGAAATTGCCACCCCAAAACAGGCCACTTAATGAAGAAACACTGCCGAGCATTGAGCCCAGGCTTATACAGGGATATCTCAGCTCCATTACTCAACAGCTATGTGACCTTGGACAAGTCACTGAATCTCAGGTCATCTGAACCTCACCTTCCCCATCTGTGAAGTGGAGAAAAGCACATCATCACACACAGTAAGAGTTGGAAAGGGGAACACTTGCAGAAAGTCAGAAGAGGAAATGCTTTTCTGCAATGTCACAGTCTGTTTCTTAACTCCAAAAAGGTCTGCTTCTCATTTGTTAACTGCAACAGTCACTCCCCATCATGTACTCTGGAATTATGTACAAAGTGCTTTCTCATCCATAAATTCTCACCATGTAGCACTTCATTTGCAAGTTTCTGAACATAACTCTTCCACTCTTCACCTCCTGAATGGTAAAAGTAGGAATCCAAGCTATCAATTTAAAAAAATATATATGTTATCGCTACAGTATTTTCTTAATATTGATCCCTGACATACTACATGCACGGGGTAAAAAGAAGAATTTTTAAACCAAATAACGATGTGTTGTAGCTATGTACTTGACTGACTTACAGTGAATAGAAATAAAAGTGAAAAAAATTTAGATGCTGATTTAATTTCTACTTGACTTCAAGGAAATAAAGAGCTCATTAAATCCTTAAGAACGAAGTGACATGAAACACCCTGAACACCAGTGCACAGATTAACAGTAGCTATATACAACTGTAGGGAGGCAGGTGACACAGACGTCTGTGTGGCTTAGAGTCCTGGCCATGAAACTGTGCGAGCTAATTCAACTCACTGAGCCTCAGTTTCCCCTTTGGGGAAATGGAGCCAATAATAAGAGATGCTGTGAGCATGAAACAGGAAGTGACATCTAAAACCGACTATAACATGCAGCCCAGAGTAAGAGCTCAAGAAATGTAAACCATTGTCATGGTTTGCTACATAGAAAAGTTTGTTGCCATTAGAGTGAACATTAGAGTAAAATGGCAAGAACCTTTCTCCCATCTTTTCTCAACCACTCAGAAGAGGACTGTACAGTCTGCAGAGCACTTGGGTCCTTGTGTGTCCTCTTCCCCCTTCTGCTGCTTCCCTACAGATTAACCTCCTCTGGGGACCAGGAAGGGGAGAGAGCAAAAGTTAGGAACAGAAGTGGTCGCGGTTGCTACCTACTACCCTGTCTGAGAAACTCCAGCACACCAAGCAACTTTAAATATTGGCCAAAATCGGGGGGGGGGGGGGCAGGGAGAAATGAATAGACACATAGTTTTCTTTCCTTCACACTATTCTGGGGCTCCACTGCTAATGTTAACCATAGAGCACAAAATCTCTCCAGGTTTCCATGACTCTAGAAATGCCCCCCAAATACTAAACTATGGCTCAGAGAAAAACGGGACAGCCAAAGCTGACAACTGTAATTCCACCTCTGCCAAGAGACTTCACTCTCTCCCAGCCTTTCTGTACTCACATGCAGAACTCCAATTTCAGAATAAAAGTGCAGGCAATTGAAGAGACTAGACACAATGTTAGAAATAGACAAATTAATGAACTGAGGACTGCAACAGTGGCCAGTTCCTGCAAGTTATCACCAACTAAAGTGAGGAGGGAAGGTGAGAAATTTGGGGGCACACAAGCTTTTACATTAGAAGTTACGTCCTGACAACTCCTGAGATCAAATCCATGTTTGGACCACTGGGCAGTGTTGCATACCTGGACTTCAAAGCATCCTCTCAAAGACTGCTATGTACTCCTATTGCCATTTTCAAGTGTGTGGGCACAACATTAACATCCCTCCTGTCCTCCCTTCCATCCCTTCCTTCCTTCCTTCCTTCTTCCATCCCTTCCTTCCTTCGTTCCTTCTTCCATCCCTTCCTTCCTTCCATCTCTTCCTTCCTTCCTCCCTTCCTTTTTTGGTGGGGGTGGGGGGAGGAGGTGGTCCACTACTGGTCATATAGCACCATTTTCTCCAGAGTGCAAAGGGCTTACAGAATCTCTCAGTGCTAGGGTTCCTGCCTGTCCTTTACCATTTAAGATTCTGAGACTACCACACTGTTCAGTCCCTGGGGAAAGTGGGCTGTTCAGCATTTGACCCCTTTGTCAAAGTAAAACTGTACAGATACACCACAAAGGCAGTGAATCAAGGTAGATGTGAAGTGCTGTGTGACAGAGGCCAACATATTTTCCTCAAGGTTCTAGGTTTCCACCGGTGTTTCCAGAAACTGTGTTAGACACATCACACAGCAACAATTCCATTCTAGATTTCGTTTTTACTTGTCTCGTCATCTAAACTCAGTTAGAAACTCCTTGAGAACAGGAGCCATGTCATCTTTGCTGTTCATCCAACAGTGACTAGAAAAATGAAGACATAAAGCTAATGAACTTTTGAAAAACAGCACAGTACCATAAAGTATCTGTGCTCCACTTCTTGGATAAAAATAATTTTTAAAAAGAAAAATTTTAAATCTGCATTAAAATGGTCACTGCCAGTCCATAAGCCAAATTGTAGATACTCTAAATGGCTATATCTATCCAATGGATATTTACATTTGGTTACTCATTACACACCTTAGCAATTTACTTAACTTTCTATGCCTCAGTTTTTGACTCTGTAAAATGGGAACCTGCCTAATACAGCCTTTGTGAAAAATAAGTGAGATAATATGTGCAAAGCAGTAAGAACATTACCTAGTACAGAGTAAATGTTCAATTAAATGTTACTTATTATTATTTTTCAGCTATGCTAAATAACTATAATGACTGCTACAAGATAAAAATACTATATAATGTTACATTTAAAAAAATCAGGGGCGCCTGGGTGGCGCAGTCAGTTAAGCGTCCGACTTCAGCCAGGTCACGATCTCGCGGTCTGGGAGTTCGAGCCCCGCGGCAGGCTCTGGGCTGATGGCTCAGAGCCTGGAGCCTGTTTCCGATTCTGTGTCTCCCTCTCTCTCTGCCCCTCCCCCGTTCATGCTCTGTCTCTCTCTGTCCCAAAAATAAATAAACGTTGAAAAAAAAATCATACATTCACTTTTATTTTAATAATATAACATATTCCATAGTTCAAAACAACTGTGCATTTTAAGCATCTATTATATACTGGACACCATGTTAGCAGTAGGACTATACATAAACATCGAACTGGCTCTGATTGGAAGGGAGAGAAACAAGCATGACCAGAAAATTTCGTAAGGTGGAGAGTATTCTAGACAAGCATACTTTGAATATTTAGACCAACTGAGAGTTCAGGAAGGGTTTTCCACTTGAGTTTATGTCAGGTCTGAGCCAAAGTATGAGAGAGATAAAGAAGGTTACAAATTCCAATATGGCATCCAATAAAAAAATTCGGCGGGAAAAAAATATCTGTGTAGAAAAAAACCAGAAACTAGAAAATACCAGAGAATAACTGTAATAGAAAAAATATACAGACGATACAAAGCTAATAAAAGAAACCTTTCCTGAAGGACCAAAAGACCTAAATAAATGCATGGAAAAATGAACAATTTTTCTAGCTGCAGAGTATTTTGAAACTATGAATCCTCCTCCAACTTGATAAACACAAGGTAATCCCAAACAAAATTCTAACAGGACTTGACAAACTGATTCTAAAGTTTATCCGAAGGAGGGGCACCTGGGTGGCTCAGTCGGTTGAGCATCTGACTTCAGCTCAGGTCACGAACTCACGTTCATGGGTTTAAACCCCACGTCAGGCTCTGTGCTGACAGCTAAGAGCCGGAGCCTGCTTTAGATTCTGCGTCTCCCTCTCTCTCTGCCCCTCCCCTGCTAACGCTCTGTCTCTCTCTGTCTCTCAAAAACTAAAACAAAACGTTAAAAAAAATTAAAGCTTATCTGAAGAAGAAAATGTACAAAGAATAGCTAAGAGAATTAAAACAAAACAGAACAAATGGGTCTCAGTTCCATGAGACAATAAAATAGTTTACCAAGCTACAATAATTTAAAAGTGTGAAGAGGCACCTGGGTGGCTCACTCAGTTAAGCATCTGACTTCTGCTCAGGTGACGATCTCATGGTTCATGAGTTCAAGCCCCACGTCAGGCTCTGTGCTGGCAGCTCAGAGCCTGGAGCCTGTTTCAGATTCTGTGTCTCCCTCTCTCTCTATCCCTCCTCTCTGCCTCTCTCTCACTCTCTCAAAAATAAATAAACATTATTTTTTTTTAAGTGTGTTATTGGGGCACCAGGGTGACTCAGTCAGTTGACGGTCGGACTTGATTTCAGCTCAGGTCATGATCCCAAGGTTCTGGGAGTGAGCCCTGGGTTGGGCTCCGCACTGAGTGTAGAGCCTGCTTAAGATTCTTTCTTTCTCTCTGTTTCTCTCTCTCTCTCTGCCCCTCTCTCTTGCTTGCACACACACACACTCTCTCTCTAAAAATAAAATAAACAAACAAACATGTGCTATTTAAAAGGGAATGGCCAATCAGTCAATATGGAAACAGGAAATTAGCATCTGGTAACTGGCTGTGTAAATCAGTCAGTTTGAGGGACATTTAAAAAACGTGTTATAACTTTACATTATACCTTATTATATGAAATTAAGACCCAAACACATTCAGATATAAATGTAAAAAGACAAAACTATAAAAGATATATTACAAGACAATGAGTATTTGCATATTCTTAGCTTGTAGAAGGCTTTCCAATGCAAGATTAAAGGCTAATAGGATGTATTTAACAAATTTGGCTACAAAAAAATTTTAAATGTCTTCATGTAAGAATACACTATGGGGGCACATGGATGGCTCAGCCTGTTAAGCAGTCAACTCTTGATTCCGGCTCAAGCCATGATCTTATGGTTCATGGGTTCAAGCCCCACATCGAGCTCTGTGCTGACAGTGCCCAGACTGCTTGGGATTCTTCCTTTCTTCCTCTCTCTCTCTGTCCCTCCCCCACTCGCTCTCTCTCTTAAAATAAACAAACTTTATATACATATAAACAAAAATAAATCTATATAAATATAAAATAAACAAACTTTATATATATGTGTGTGTGTGTGTGTGTGTGTGTGAAATAAACCTGAAGTCCAAAACTAGAGGCTCACAAGGCCAGTGTTGGTCTGGTCTGCAAGGTTTTTGTTATTGTTGATGTTTGTTTTTTCAAAGAAGTGGCCAACACTTGAAAATCGGGGTGTCTGCCCATCTGGCAATACCGTTCCTCACTTCTAGGTGGCAGCAACGAGCTGTGGCTGAGAGGCGGAGTCCTCTTGTGGTGGGGTGGTGACTCTCTGGTCCCTTGTAATCCCAACCCACCCCTCTAGTCACTGACTTCACCTGCCCCGTCACTTGGAAGATTTCATTTTGGGGGCCTTACAATAAATTAAAGACAGGGGAAAACATGTGCTTCATTATCTAAGAGACAAGAGATTAATTCTACATACATAAACAGAACTTCTGAAATGAATATGAAAAAGATAAACCAATTTTCTTCTTAATTGGCAAAAACCGTTTAAAAAATATATACACAAGGCCAATAAATATATGAAAGGAAAATCTCTCTTCCACGCAGAAACATTCACACCAGTGTTTTTGCCCATTGGATTGGAATAAAAAATGATGATAATGTCTTGTCTTGGCAAGAGAATAGGAACTGGCAAGCTCAAACACTGTTTCAAGGAGAGGAAATATGAATTTTCTGATGGGCACTTTGGCAGGAGCTACCAAAATTGAAAACATGCATGCACTTTGGCCCACCTATCCAGGAATTTCAGGAATTTGCCATATAGGACTGACTGATATATGCCAGCTAAGACAGGCACACATATGCCAAAATGCTCAATATAGCGTTGTTTATAATGGCAAATAGAAGCAACTTGAATGGGGCACCTGGTTGGCTCAGTTGGTAGAACATGTGGACTCTTAATCTCAGGGTCGTGAGTTCAAGCCCCAAGTTGGGCATGCAGCTCACTTTGAAAATAAACAAATAAATAAATAGAATAATCTTTCTTAAAAGGAAGCAACTTAAATGCTCATGAAATAAGGGAAGGGCTGATTACATTATGGTACATCTATGGGCTGGAATATTACACAGCCAGTAACAAGAGTGAGATGGCTCTACATTTGTTGATACAGAAAAAAACTCTCAAAATGGAAATATTAGTGGCCATAATAATCAGCACAGCCTAATCAACTGTAGAGTAACAGTATGTACAAGATGCATACACACCCCTCCAGGTACATGCATATGCATACACATTTTTCCCTGTTAACAATCATCAATGTTCTTAATGTGTGTGTGTGTGTGTGTGTGTGTGTGTGTATATGTGTATATATATGTGTATACACATATACACATATATACATATATATAAATGTAACATAAATATATTTATAAATGCATAATATATAAAGGTATGTCAATGGATACCATTTTTTACTCTGGTTTTTCATGTCATTTGCAATTTTTCTAAGCACATATTCGTGCATTACTTGAATACCTTTTTTTCCCCTCAGAGGACGGATATTCCTATAAAGAAAAAGACTACCAAGGACTTGTAAAGAAAGAATTCTGTGAGGTGTTGTGTTACAGTTACAGCTGGAGCTGGGTGGGGGCAGTGAGGATGCTGATCACCTCAGTTGATACAACTGGAGACAGTGTGTATACAGTGGTGATGGCCAGTCCACTGGGCCTTCCACCCCCTAATCTGAGCAATATCCACAACACTGAATGTTTCTTTGTTGCTTTAATTATAATCTGCTTCAAAATAACCCATCTGACATCAAATTTTAAATATGGTATAAATAATGCACTAAAAAGGGGTTGGAAGAAAACATGCCAACCTGTAAGAGGTTATTGCCTCTGTGAAGGAGGGAATAGGAATAACGGTCTTTCCGTTTCTTGATTCTTTTCCATTTTTCCACTTTTCTAGAATAACTATATATTATTTTTATCATCAGAAAAAAAGAACACTTTCCAAGATGAATTTTATGTTATTGTAGAAATAAAGTCACTGATCCTCCTGGCCTGGTGTACCCTTAAGGTCAGTATGTGTAACGGTTACAACTTTCTTTGCCAGGTGGTGAGTCCCCCAATTCCTGGTTCCACACTTTAGGGTAGGGCCCATGTAGGGGTTGAGATGGGTACAAGTGGACCAGAGGAGAGGGTCCTTTCGTGGGTCACACTGATTCTTCTCCCAACTTGTGAATGGCTGTGGCTGTCTTGGATCCGACCACCTTTCCTTCCTACCACCTCTGCTCCATCCGCCCTGCTCTTTTCTTTTCCTGTTCGTTTCCTAGCTCCATTCCCTCCTCTTGCTCCGCTCCCTTCCTCCTTTTCCTATCTCCAAGTCACCCAAGTGCATGCTGGGAGGGATGTGCAGGATGGGAAGGGAGAAGGCCAGGTGGACGGAAATGTTCTAATTCTGCAGGTGACCATTGCCAGGCTCAAGTTTTGGGTCAATGATGAATCTGTCTGGGAAAGAAGGGAGATGCAAAAGAGAGGATAAAAAATAAGAGGCACTTAAAACAATAAATCGTAGGTACAATTCTAATGTTTATCTCCTGAGCACAGATTGGTGCCCCAATGTAGGAAGCTTCAAAGTCAGTGACAACAACAAACTCTCCCAAAGACAGTGTTACAGGTTACTGCCCAGTGTGTCACTGTAATCAGGATTGGAGCCTAAAAAATAAAAAAATAAAAAAATTTAAAAAGGCAAAAATGAAAGCAAATTAAAGAAAGTTTTCTTTGAAAGTATCCTTCTAGGAAACCACAGATTCCTTTTTTCCACTGGGAAAGAGGCAAGTGTCAAGTTTGCCTCCAAAAGTGCGCAATAACACTGCAAGGTAAACAACTCAGCTAAGACCGTGGGGGGGCCTGGGCACCTCTTCCCGTGTGTGTCCTCAGTTCTTTGGGCGCTTTGCCAGAGTCAAGGCCAGCAAGATGGAATGAAGATGTCATTCCCACCTCGGCGCAAGCTCCTGTGACTGCCCAGTAAACATTAGGGGAACGAGCTAACGAGCAAGTGAATGGATGGGAAAGAAGCCGCACTGCCGGGTGCTTACCTCTTCTGGTTCATGGAGGCCACCTGGAGCCACTCGTTGGTGCTGGGGTTGTAGGAGTGCGCAGCCGAGATCTCCTGGCTAGTGATCCTGTACCCGCCCACTATGAAGAGGTAGTTGTCCAGGATGGCGGACCCGTAACCCCTGACATTCACCAGGTCGGGAGGAAGGTTGTTGGCCAGCGGGAACCAACGTTCAGTCATCTCCTCATACCTCAGCATGGATGGGGGCTCCCCTTGGTAGGGGTGAGGAGCCAGGGGTCCCCCCAAGAAATCCCCCAGGGCCACGAGGACAGGAGTCCCCGTCATCCGGGCCTCTCTCAGCCTCTGCTTCAGGCTGACATCGCCGGGGGCTTGAGGGGGAGCCCCCAGAAGGTGGAACTGGGGCTTGCAAAGGACCTCGTGGAAGTGGACGACCATGAAGCGCAGGCAGGCCTCCTGCAGGTCGGGCAGCCCGTACACCTGCGCCAGGCGGTACAGCTCCAGGCAGTTGGTGAGCCGCACCTGGGACAGCAGCAGCTGCAGCAGAGACGTGACCTGAAGGAAGGAGGCCGCTTCCACCAGCTCCGCCAGCAGGCTCACCTCGTCCATCTCCTCTTCCTCCTCCACCCCACCGCCCTTCTCCGCCCGCGAGCCCAGGAGCCAGCCTTCGCGGGCCCCGCCGGCGTTGATGAAGTCCAGCACCAGGCGCAGGCCCGGGGCGCTGAGGCCGCGCAGCTGCTGCACCTCGGGGCCGCCGGCCTCCTGGCTCAGGGCCTCGCGCATGCCGGAGCGGTAGAGGGCGCGGAAGTAGTCGCTCTGCTCGATGAGCTTCCTCTTGCTCACCGGGTAGCAGCGGTCCTCCAGGCGGATCTGCACCATCTCCTCGGCCGACATGGCTGGGGGCCCGGGGGCCGCGGGGGTGCCCGCCAGCTCTGCGCGCTCGCCTCCCCGCCCCCACGCGCTCTCCGGGTTCCGGGTTGGGCGCGCCGAGGGATGGCGCCGCGGAGGAGGAAGGAGGCGACGGGCCGCCGCCCGCTCCCGCGCTCGCCCGGCCTATCTGGGTCGCGGCGGCGCCCCCCGAGGCAGCCCCTCCTCCTGGTCCCGGGGGCGTCGGCTCAGCCTCACTCCCCCGAAGCGGCGGCCCTGCCCGTCTGCTCTCCCTCAGCGCCAAAAAAGGCCCGGCTGGCGCGCGCCGGGCGTCGGGAGGCGGCCGCAGTCCTCGCTCGGGTTCGCCGGACCGCGTCAGCCGCCGAGGGGATCCCAGCCCCCAGCCTGCAGCCTCCTCCCACGCCTGGCTTCTCACTTCCGCCTCGCAGGACCCCCGCCGCCCGCCGGACCTGCGGGTGGATCCGGGAGGGCTGGAGGGCTGCGGGCCCGGGCGCCGGAGCTGGGGCCGGGTCCGCGCAGCCTCCCCCGCACGCCGGGCGCAGCGGTGCGAACCAGGCTCGGACCGAAGGCGAGATGAAGCCGGTCCGCTCTCTCTTCCGCGCTGCTTTACCAGCGGGAAGAGAGAGACAAGAAGGAGAAACAGGCGTGGAAGGAACGGGATGAAAGGAGTCTGGGGTCCCGGGCGTCAAAATGACATCACATCTGGGATCGCCCATCTAGCCCAATCCGGCATAGTGTCCCAGCGGGCTGAGGCCCATAGGCCGTTCCTGCACACGTAGGTGGCACCTAGAGCTGAGTCTTCGCAATGGTCATCGTGTAGGAGCCATCTTGCAGAAAGAAAGTCCAGGCGGATGGCAGCAGGTTCGGCAGAGCTCACTGGGGTGCACAGTGCAGCTGATGAAAAGGGTTGGCAAGCAGAGGAACTTGTATTTGCTGCTGGGGCCCGTTAATCCTCTTTATGCTATCAAAAGAAAGACAGGAGTGCAACTCAAAGGTAGAACACGTGACCTCTTTTAAAATATTTTGTAACAAACCTTGCTTTTCCTATTTCAGTTTGGTTGGGTCGGCCATGACAGAATGCGATCCTTTGGGCAGAAGGTGTGGCCGCTTTTGGTGGCATTGGCCTTCAGAGGTGGTTTTTCTTGCCACCCTCCTACCGTCCCCGTACCCATGCTTCCTCACTGTCTGAGGACTGCTTAAGGAAGGGCCACTTCCTCCTTAAGAGAGACCTCTTCTCTCACTTAACATTGCAAAGAAATGAATAGAAAGCTCACCCCAAATAATAAAGACCTCGAGTTACTCGTAAGATATGAATTAATCTTAGAAGGGGGTGAGCAGGATACTGTTAGGTAAGCTTTGGGTGGATGGAGGGATAAGGATTGGGAGGGAAAAGAGGGTGTGGCACTCTTATCCCACAAAGAAACCCTTTTTGAAAATTTTCCCAGACCAAGATTCTACTACAATAGTCCTCAACTTGGGAAGAACATGTGTTTGGGCTTTGTTTTTATTATTGCAAGCTTCATCTGTCTTCTTGAATGACAAGTTGTTAAATAACACCTTCTTCATAAGAACATTTCTGCTTTATGAGACATAAGATATCTCCTACACCTCTCATATTGTATATTAAGAAGGGGGAAGGGTTAAAAACCAGAAAAGAAAGTCATATTGGTAAGGCATGAAATCCTTTTGACACCTTTTGGTTACATTTGTGCTTCTTACTATGTAACTTAGCTGCCTGGGAGTGAGGTGTTTGTCCTCCATCATTCTCTTTATAATACACCATAAGTAAGGAACTAAAAATTTAAAAACAGAAAAAAGTTCTAGTAGATTCTGGCTTCCCTGGGAAAAGTGAAGGAGACAAAGATGAATCTATGACTTGCCTCATTCATCTCTCTCTCTCTCTTTCTCTTTTTAAACTGGGAAAACCTCTAGCTTTTCACCTTGTTTCACCTGGCCTTTGAATCATTACTGATAAAACTCGATTCTCAACCAACTTCTCACACTTCTGTTTTCAATGACGCTGCAGTCAGGACATTCATTCTAAGGCTCTTAGTGGATGAGTGACCATGAATTTAGCAACCTCTTTGGAAACATAAAGTGCCAACTCTGGTTTTAGGTCTTAAACTGGGGAATTTTCCTGGGAGGCACACCCTATATCAGAGAGGCTTGGACTTGGGATTTATTTGTGCCTCCATCCACGACAATGCCAGATTCATTGGGTCAGCCAAGAAGAACAGGCTCTTAGTCTCTTCTCTGTCCCTTTAGAATCTTTCACCAATGATGCTTTTGTTTCCAAACGTCATAGATATGCCTCCGACTGGTATTTTCTTGCCTTTTAAAAACAGACCAAAAAAATCACTATCAAAGAATGATGCGCATTAGAAAGGCAATTCACGCACAGTAATATTATCAGAGTAAGATCAGCTTGGACAGGGAATCTGGGGTGTGAGTCTGACAATACTGGGCACTGGACCTGTAAGCTTTTTTGGCCCTCATATGATAGTAACATCATTTAGAACTGGAAGTATCTTAAAAGATCAAATAATTTTTATAACTCACACAGTAAGCTTCCTGTTCAGCTAGAAATACCAAGTCAAAGCAATGTAAATTCACTTACAAAAGTTTTAAATATTCTTTCTAAGCCTCATGAAAATATTGCTTACATATAACTGGTGGTGTAATTTTATATATCTGTTATTGGCTGATCAATGAATAATAAAGACTGGCCTTTGTGCTACAATGACTCATTTCAAACACTTTATAACATGATCTGGTCAAATCAAGGATGGTCAAACACAGCTGTTCCTTTATGACCTAGAATGAAAAAAAGATCTAAGTAGAAGATGTTTATCAGAGTGTTGCTTTTAATAATGAAAAATTGGAAAACATAATGTATAATAGTAATAGTAGCTAACATTTACTGAATGCTTATTATATGACAGACACTTGTCAGTACTTTTCACAGATTACAATACTATTTTTTATTCTATTATACAGCTGAGAAAGCTCAAGTGCAGAGTAAATTTTGGTACATAGGTAGAATGAAATATACCATAGAGCTGTTACAACTTTGGATGTACATGTAGAGCTTTCTTTAGAAACGCTGAAATACATAATTTTACAGTGGATTTTTTTTTTAAGGGGGGAAGGGGCAGATGGAGAGAGAGAATCCTAAGCAGGCTTCACACACAGCTCAGAGCCCAGCACGAGTCTTAGTCTTACAACTGTGAGATCATAACCTGAACGGAAACCAAGAGTCGGACACTTAACTGACTGAGCCAATCAGGCACCCCTACACTGGATTTTTTTAAAAACAGTTTCTGGAACAGTTTGAATCCATTTATGTAAAATTGTATTCATGTGTCTATTTTTTTTTAATTTTTTTTAACGTTTATTTATTATTGAGAGACAGAGAGAGACAAAGCATGAACATGGGAGGGGCAGAGAGAGGAGGAGACACAGAATCCGAAGGAGGCTTCAGGCTCTGAGATGTTAGCACAGAGCCCGACGTGGGGCTTGAACTCACAAACCCAGCGAGATCATGACCTGAGCTGAAGTCAGCCGCTCAACCGACTGAGCCCCCCAGGCGCCCCTCGTGTGTCTATTTTTTATAGATGTGTCTAGAAGAATGTTAACCAAAATGTTAAGATTGTAAGACCTTGAATAGTGCTTATTTCTTTTTGTACTTTTATGTATGGTTTGGATTTTTAAAGTGAAATGTATATCAATTTAATGAAAAGTAAAATATTTTAAGAAAAATTGTGTTTTTTAACAAACAAAACTGAAATATTTTCCTTTCATTGAAGCATATGGGACAACATAAATGAGTTTAAAGTAGCACAGGTCTTCAAAAATGTCTCTATTTAATTCAGATTGAGCATCTTTGTGTAGGCAAAACTTCCATTTTACATCAGTGTTCTCCAGACATCTTAGGAAATCACCTGGGACACTTATGAGACTTCTGGTTCTAGAGCACCTGAATCAGGCTCTTGGAAGAGATTAGTTTTTAACGGAAGAATCCAATCTTTGAGCCCCTCAAGAGCACCGAGTTGGAAATAAGTACAGCATATCACTGCATTGCAGTAGTGTGATGGTTCTGAGTATTTCATAAAATTTGTACAAAGGCTATATAGCAATATTTTATTCAGAGTTGCAGTTGCTTTCTGGTTTCTGCAATTTCATCTCACGTGGACAAGTTTTGGGACTAGACGTTTCTGGGCCATTATGGATATCTCCCTCTGCCCCTGCAGGCCAGTTTCTATCTCTCCGTTTCAAAATACTTGGCTCCAAGAAGTTCTGGGTTTCCAGACTGAATGTTTATGCAATCACCAAAAAAATTATTTTAAAGATTCTAAAGCATGCTTCTATATTGGAACTTATAGATTCTTTCAAATACAACTTTGATCTTCACTTGAACATCATTGGACACCAAATGGATTAAACAATTGTGGATTGTTCTATTATCCCTGCAGGATACATGAGAACTTTAAGGAATTATATATCACACGAAAGAAGCATTTAATGTGACTGAAATCCATGGAGGTTAGAAGGTTAGAAAGCTGACTTTCTGGTTTATATCCCCAGGGCATCAACTAATTACAACAGCTATGGAATCTTGTGGGGAAATAGGGAGTGATCTTTTGCTCCTTTGCTGTCCTTTGCTTTGCCATTAAAAAATCTCTCTTCCCTCTCCCCTCAGAACAGATGGAACAGTCTGATCATCTGCATGTAAGCAATTGAAACTTGCTTTCTATGAGAAGTTCAGTAGAATAAAGTATTTATCATTTTCCGTGTAGTTTATGTGGCTTATGAAAGATTAGGAGTTAATCCATGATATATAATGTTGGCTTGGGAGAAAGTGACACGTTTTGTTTTTAAAGTTATTCAGACTTATGAATATTTTCATCTTATTATTGATTCTTAAATTTTATGTTTCTAAAAATCAAAGGATATGTGATCAGCTATAATTATGAAACAGGTGGAGAGATGGAATTCAAAGAATATTAACATTTTTCTGTCAAGTAAGTGAATGAGTCATTGTGCAAAAGGTATGAAAGAAACCTAGACCACTGGATAGAAAAAGTTTCATCTTTTCCCCTTCTTCTTCTTCTTCTTCTTCTTCTTCTTCTTCTTCTTCTTCTTTTTGAAAAGAGCAGAACAGTACATTATGCCAAAAGCTGATTTTCACTTATACTTTGCATAAAAATGGATACACAAAAGCAAGAAGAATTTTATGCTTTGAACTAATTTGTCATTTTGGACATCATCACAGATATGGAACCCACAATCTTCACAAAAGTAAGAGGCCATTTTTGCTGCCTTTAGTATCTTTTCGAATGTTTTGGTCTTGCAATTGAAGTAATTTTATTAATATTTAGACCCGCATTGGTCTCTGTGCTGACAGCTCAGAGACTGGAGCCTGCTTCAGATTCTGTGTCTCCCTCTGTCTCTGCTCATGCTCTGTCTCTCTCTCTCTCAAAAATAAACATTAGAAAGAAAGAAAGAAAGAAAGAAAGAAAGAAAGAAAGAAAGAAAGAAAGAAATTTAAAACCATTTCATCATTTCCCGAATGCACATTTCTTGGCAACTACTTCTGCTTCAAAGATACTATGCCTTCATGTATATGCTTCGCAAAAAAGTCTCCTTTTAACATGCAAACACAAATATCAGAAAACAGATTAAACATTCCCCATTTTGAACTTCTTCACAATTTCCACTGTAATGCTTTTCATTTATGCTTTTTTAAAGAAAGCTTATGGCTGGACTTTTTTGGTGGGGGTGGGGGGTCTGGAGGAAGCCTAGCTCCAAGAAATGACCAGGATCCACATTCAGTGTTTTCAAAATCACTGTAAAATTAAAATTGTTTTTTTTTTCTTTTTCAGTTTCATTTACTTTCACGTTTTGTTTTGTGCACAAACCAGTGCACAAACTGGTTTTCTAGTGAACCTGAATACTAGAATGTAAATTCAAAGGGAAAAAAATGACTGAAAAGAAATCGCAGTCACAGGTTCCTTTAAAGCTATACAGAAGTGCCCTTACAAAAACATGTCTTGTTTCTGGTGAAATGGATCCTTCTTTATCTGACGTCAAGTGACTAAATTATTGTTTTCCTGGGAAAGACTCTTGGCTAGGATTTCCATTTGTCTTTATATTTACTTAGTGAGAGGTGTCTGTGACTATTCACTTTCACAAAACGAAGAAAAGCAGAGGACAGAATCCACATCTTCAAGAGGCTAAAGGACAGAGTATCGAAATGGCCTGGAAAATGTTCAAAATTAACGTCAGAAAGTCAAATGTTCACCTAGGGCTCAGCCGGGGAGAAATGAAAGAAAAATCAATATGCAGCCAAAGAATGGCTTCATTTTTCTAGAAGGTGACCCTCCAAGAGAGTCCCTCAGCAACAGCCCCCGAGTTCCAGAAACTGTCCAGAAGCCTGATGGTCAGCTTCAGCATCTGTGTGGGACTCAGGCTTCTTGCCCAGTCTTTATACCAGCAAAATGCATGCGGCAGTGGTGGTAACCAGCGTGACACTGCTCCTGAGCGTGGTGCGGGCCTCTCACTCTCTCTGCTCACCCACCATTTTTTACAGAGGCTGCTGGATCCGTCGCTTTCCGGGTCTTCTGATTGACCTGGAGGAGTCTCAGAAGCTGGGAGCTCAGTTCCTGAAGTATTACTCTGAAGGCACTGGCCAGAAATGCAGCAGGAGCTGCTGCCTTAGGAAGGATGGTAAGTATTAATGATACGCCTGTGCAAAAATCAGGAGAAAATTATAAAATGAAGACTAAGTAAGGGCCCCTAGGTAGAGGTTCCAGAGAAAAGATGAACAGGACTAGGGGAGATGAGGGAGAGACAGGGGATGGAAGAGTGCAGGAGAGACTCAGACTGTCTGGGTCAGTGCTGGCTCAGTTTACAAATCTGGTAATGACCCAGAATGCCATGGAAACTATAGGCAACAGAGAATCTTCTTTTCCTCATGAACAGGCTAAATGAAAATATTTCCTTGAGGGTTAACTAACAATATTTCTTAGCCCCAAATATGGCATATTTGATTTCAAAAATATTTATCATTTCCCTTTCAAAGTTCTTTCAGTGATATTGGTATTTCAAGATTTCGAAATGTGCTTGCTGTGTTGACTAAATGTGGGCTGCACTGAATAGGAATTTACATTGTGAAATGCCTATGAAAGACATAGGCAGATATATGTCAAATAGCAAAAAGAAAGAAAAACGCATTTTCAAAATAATCTGATTTTTTTTTTTTTTTTGGTCTGAAATCCAGAATCAGGGTTAAACATCATCCATGTAATACGATCAAGGTTTACAATTAGGAAAACATTTCATTATTGCAGAATTTCAAGTTATAATTGTCTAAAGACTTCTTCCATTTGTTTTTCATTTTCCCAAGATTTTAAAGTTACTTGGAAAGAAACAGCAAAAGCAACACAACACTTGAAAATAATTCTCTTGGTTATTCCACAGTTTCTTTCCATGGTTTGACACCAACTTATTAATTGCCAATGCTTCCTATCCAAGTATGCATGTAAGATTTCTGGGATGCAGACTGAATCTACTAGAAGGGTATAAACCGACCACAGTGTGAGAAGCTGTCCCAGGCTAAGCCCTCAAAAGATAATCAGGCACAGAAGAGAACAATTAATTTATTAAAGGGAAATATTTCTGAGAAGTTTGCCATTTCAGATTTTCACCTTAGAGATGCTTCTGATCCCAAAAGGCTTGAGGGAAGGTAGGCGAGGGGGGATACGTTTCAGCATTTCCCCATGGCATCAGTTTACCTGACTGTCCACCGCAGGGAAACTTTGTCTTCTGGACTTTCAGGGATACTATAAGCATCCAGTAGAATTCCATGATTTTAGAGCCTCTGTAGCTTCCAAGTTGTGGTTTTCTTCCTCCAGAAGAAAGGGCACGAACACACGTCTCTGTTTTTTGCCGGGAGCCAGAACTTTAAAAAGCCACAGTCGGGCAATAGCTAACCTGCTCGGAGATGAAACTCTGAGGTGTACACGAAGAGGAATAGAAAACATCTTTCAAAATTGTTCTCTACGGCATCAGCTACTTGCTCACCAGAAATTTAGATGTCTAAATTTAAATGTATATTAGTCCTTTCCCTTGAACTTGACAGCACAGTCTTTGGGGGATGTATTTATCATCTGTAATGGATTAGCAAGGTATTATTAATTGAATTCTGTCCTATTCTTTTTCCTACTGAAAAACGAAAGAGTGCAGAAACGTGAGCTGTCCTGGAAGCAATGGGGGAGATACAACTGCCCACAGTTAACCTTACACAGAAGCAGCAATTCCACCACAGCCTTAGGCATAGTCTGAGGTCTGATAATTGCATGCTACCCCTCTGTAATCTTCTTTTATTAAAAAAGTTGATACTGTTGGCCAATGGATGTTTCCCAGCACATGCTTCCTCCTCACTGCAGCCGGAGGGAAATCTGTGTTGCCCTCTCAGGAGGACAGACTGAAGACTGGCACTCCACAAGTCCAACTTAAGGTTTTCCAGAAATAGTATGATACATTGTAAGGAGCAAACTTACTTAGTAAAGGGAAGACAGCATGAGTCAGTGATGTACCCCTACTCAGTAGAATTCCAAATCCTAACATCCCTGATGGTCGACTCTCATCCTCTTTAAATGACACCGAATAGGCTTTTCATTGGATGTGATTTGCAACATGGGGTTAGTGCTCCCCGTTAATCAAGGTCAGGGTCGTGTTCACCTGACCTGCTGCCTTTCCACCATCAGGCCTCTCCCAGTAATGCTGTTTTTGCCTTCCCACTACTCCCTCTTTTGTTACAACATTTGTCACTTTATTTTCTTATTTCTTTCTCTGGTGAACTCCAGTACCTTAGCATTCTGAGACGGCAACACACCTAGAAATCTGTTATGTATAAATCCCCAGAGGTTTCTGTAGCCAACTGATCTTTTCATGAACATAAAATACTGGGATTGGGAAATGATTCTGGGTGACCCTATGTGGAATGGAATGTGTGAAAGATGAGAGAAAATTAGTGTATAGTTTTTTTAAAAAAGGCATTTTCTGTATTCATACAAACAGTTACTATAGTTCACAGTGTTCTATGAAATATCTGAACGTAGCCTTGCAATGTATTGCTTGCTGTTAATCCAATGTTCTTGAAAGAAATGTAAGTTACTCAGAGCTCATCAAGCTGGTAGAAACCAAGACCATCTGCAGATTCACTTGGCCTGTTTTCCTTTCAGTTTCCTGTAACGTGGCTGTCTTCTACCATGATCCTATTCACGACAATGTCAACTGCCTCCATATTCACTGCCCAACATTGGAGAGCTGTGTATTAGAGCCTGGAACCAGTGCCATTTTATACAACATAACAGAAGGTAATGATTTATGTATTTTTTTTTTGTATTTTGAAGAATATTGACAATATTCTAGTAGAGACATATAACCTAAAAGCTACTGTTAATAACAATGTGTGAATCCCTGAATTGTTATATCCCAGTGATTTCTATCTGGAAAGGTTTTGGGCATCCAGGGTGAAAATTAGAAGGATATTCCCTTTAGTTTGGCATGTTCAGCAATGATGAGCTCATTCCAGATGATCACAAATCATACATGATTGAAGAAGAGCTTAAGCATTACATTTATTCCAGGGGCCCCTAGCAAGGGACAAAATGGGCATTTCAACTGCAGTGGCTAAGGATGATACTAGGAAATAAAGAAAATTGCTTAATGGCAATTTTGAGGTCCACTGACACCACATACAAGGATTCTACAGAAATGGATGTCAAGGACAGGGAAATGTACTTACTAACATATGTTAGCATACCAATGGTCCCAAGATAACCAGTATATTTTATTTTAGAAAAATACCCATTTAAGTGTCCCTTGCTCATGTATATAATCTCAGGGCACAAATTGGTAAAGATGAAAGGATCGATTTTTGTCATCAAAATACAAAGAAGATCAGTTTGTCATCAATCTGTACTTAGTGAAAACCTAATGCTTCAGGCTGTGTGCAACATTGCAAAAGATTGCAGCCATATCTCTGCCCTCGAGTTCCTTACAATCTAGCTGATGTGACAAGTCTCACAATTAGTGTAAAAAGTGGAATTGCATTAAAAAACGTGTGATACTTCCCCAAGTACAAGCACCCAAAAGGAGACTAAAGAAAGCTAAATTCAGAGGCAACTTCATTGAAGAGGCCAGGCAGAGGCAAGATAAGGAGTTCAGCATCCCACCATGGAGAAAACAGGTCTAGCTACAAAAGGGGCACATTTGGAGTTGCAATAAAAATATGGGTAAGGGGCGCCTGGGTGGCGCAGTCGGTTAAGCGTCCGACTTCAGCCAGGTCACGATCTCGCGGTCCGTGAGTTCGAGCCCCGCGTCGGGCTCTGGGCTGATGGCTCGGAGCCTGGAGCCTGTTTCCGATTCTGTGTCTCCCTCTCTCTCTGCCCCTCCCCCGTTCATGCTCTGTCTCTCTCTGTCCCAAAAATAAATAAACGTTGAAAAAAAAATTAAAAAAAAAAAAAATATGGGTAAGATAGGGTAAGCCAGGTAATAAAAAAAGGGCTTTGGACAGAGTAGAGTTTTGGTTTGACTTTGACAGCAATAGTGAACCAGCAAAGGTATTTAGTGAGCAAGTGCCATCATGAAAGTGACGAGTCTGGCTGTCTATTTAGTCTCAGAAAATTATATGTAGGATGCAAGTTAGAAAATCTAGTCAGGGAGGCATGAGATCTGGAGAAGGCGATCATAACTGCGACAAAGAGGAGGGATGATTACTAGAACATTGGGAGCGAACTGGATAGGGTGTAGTTACTTTTTGGATGAAGGAAAAGAAGAGAGGAGTCAAAAATTGCTCTGCAGTACAAACAGATTCCAGCTGGGTGATGAAGATTCATGATGCCACTGAATGAGACAAAGTACCAGACGAAATGACTTTGGCTCTGGGAATGTTCAGTGATGACATGAGATGTCTAGGTGGAAACCTTCAGTAGAGCACAGGAGAAATGAGACCAGAGACCAAGAAAGAGGCAATCACTGGTGATGTGGATTTCAGTGCCACCGATGTAGTGGTGACAGTTGATGAAGACGTGTGTGTGTGTGGTGAGATGAAGAGAAAATTCAAGAGAAGACAAAGGACTGAAGATTGTGGAAAGTACACAACAAGTTAGGACCAAGAAAAGAACCAGCAAAAGAAAGAAAAAATGAGAGGCGGGCAGCCTGAGGTAAAGTACCAAGAGAGTCTGTGCTCCAGGGAGTCACGGGAGGAGAATTTTAAGGAACAGATGGCCAGCAGTATCGAGGATAAGAGCCTGCCAAAGCAATGAGACTGATCAGGAAATATAGAAAGTACTGATTACCTCAGAAGCATAATTCTGACAGAATAGTGAGGATGGAACAAGATGACAGAAGGCAAAAACCAAAGAAAGGAAATGGATGTTAGTATGTCCAGAGGGAGAGAGACAGAAACTGACTGATAGCAGGGACAACTGGAAAGCTGTTGAGAGGGGCTCCCC